TAAATATTAGGTAAATCCCGTGATATATGAACAATTACAAGTATTTTTCATTATAGATTTTTTCATCATACATTCTTTCATTATACATTTTTCATCATAACATTCTTTCATTATACATGTTTCATTATACACTTTTTCATTATACATTAGGTAAATCCCCAATACATGAACATTGCCAAATATTAAAGAGAATTTGATAACATATACAACTTCATCTTCATTTTCTTCGAAATATTATTCATCATTTCTATTTTTCATTATACATTCTACTTCTTTTTTTTTTGTTTTTTACCATCAAAAAATGGAAATTAATCAAGAAATAAAGTTTTCATAATATCAAATTCTATGTCCATTAACCAATGAAATTAACTACAAAAAAGTGAAGGAGGATACTACAAAATATAAAATCGGCAAAGGCTCTGATACAAATTGAATAAATAAAACAATTAAAGATTTGGGTAGTAATAAAATTATATTAATTTATAATTGTAATTACCTCTCTGGAGATATTGTTTTGAATTCACCTGCGTTATCCTGGTTAGTTTGAATTCGTAAATTAGCTACGGGAAAAAAAAATCCATGAGTTTTAATTAAATCTATTATTAAACCTATTCAGAACATGAATGAAGTAGATCTTTGTAAAGAAAATGAAAACAAAAGACATGCATATAAAAAAAACTAACCTGCCAATACAAACGAACCAACGGTAGAAATAAATCCTGCTAAAAAAGCATTGTATGGGTAGGTTCCAACGAGCACACAATGCACAAATTGGATAACACCAGAAAAGAGAATAAAAACTAAATAAGCATCAATAAGTTGAAGGCTTTGTGGTGTATTCTTTGAATATGATGTCCATAATTTTTGAACAGCGTTCGAAACATTATTTGACATTTTTAAAATATCGATGTTTATTTTTAAAATTGTTGGAAATTAAATACTGTCAAATTGCATCAGAACGACCAATAAAATTACCCCACGTTGACCAATTAAACTTAATTACGGAACTTTTCCTTAATGGTATATATCCGTATTATTTGTATGCATGTTTGTTTTTTAGCGTTAGCGTTGGATCGATCATAATAAATTTGAGTAACTAGCTTAATGCTAGTGCCAGTTCAAAGTCTTTCGCAAAAAAAATGCATACACCTCCATCGAACGTTGAAATATTACGTAGGTTACTGGTTCATTCTGATGGCCGTGATAAAACCTTAAAAATCATCCAATACTTTGGAAAAATTTTTCTTTGGATTCATGATCGTAAGGTCTCCAAAGTTAATCCTATTATTTTTCATCTACTTTATCGAAACAAATCTTTCCTTTCAAAGGTTTCTCCTCGATTAAAAGCAATGACCTCACAATTTAGCACAACACGTAAAATAATTCGTTTAGCTCATTTTCTAGAACCTTATTCAGATTTACGTGAATATTATACTGGTGCACGTAAATTCCCTCATTCTTCAACTTCATATGAAAAAGTTGTTTATTATTTAGGACTTATTAATGCAATTGTTGGTATAATGAATGATATATTCGATGATTTATATTGTCTTGGTAAAATTGAAGTTTTAGATAAATCAGTTGCAAAATGGGCAGAGCCCATTGCGATTAAACTTTGGTTTTTCTGTATTTGTTTGGATATTAACGAATTCTTATTCAAAATTTGGCAAATGAATAAGAAAATTGAAAAGGCTAATTCAGAGGCTAATTCAGAGGAATTGGAAAAGTACCAACATAGGTTATATTGGTTAAAAATTAGTTTAGCTAAAATTTTTATGGACTTTTTGTTTTGCGGTATGTATTTGTTAAACTTTTTCTTGACATTGTTTAAACAAAACTAAAAACATTAATTGTCAACCTTTTTACTATTAAAGGGTATGATTTATTTGGATTTACTTTTTCAGATGGCGTGCAAGCAGTTTCTGGATTTCTTGCTGGAATTCTAAGTAAGTTT